CGCTCTCAATGTACGCCACGGTTGGCCCGCGAGGTGTCCGCAGATATTTGCGAACATTGAGTCGAACGTCAAGCGATAAGCAAACCAACGAATTCACTCATACCGGAGGGTTTGTCACTTCTTCGGGTTCACAACAGTCGGTCCCATTGACTCAGTCGTCAACACTTCCAACAGATTCTGTCGTCGAAATGCGATTCACTTTAAATCCAACTAACTTTGAAAGCAATCGATTGAATGATTCAAATAAAACTTCTGACACTTCTCTAAACCGAAGTCCAGAGCCGTCAGCGGAAGGCTCTGATGAAACCCAATCGGTTAATGTCAGTAATATTGTTGTGCCCGAGAGCTCATCTCTTTTGGATCAGTTGCGTACTCATGGCTACCGAAATATTGTGAGCCAACGATTGTCCGGATCATCCATTTTCAGTGATTTGGACTCGAATTTCACCGAAAATGATTTGATTTATAAAAGAGGTAAAAGTGTTTTGAACTGTTCTTCGCGTGTTATCAATGGTAATGCAAACGCATGTGAATGCATGGATGAGACTAACCCTACGGCTACTTCCAGTACCAAAACCAGTGCCAATACAAGTGCCACTACCAGTGAGGCTGAAACCGCTGCCAATAATACAAACGCCAATAATATTGAGTTAAAAGCTTCTGATTTTATGAATTATGCCAAACCATTAGATATTAGACACTCTTTTAATGACAATGAAAAAGACTGTTCCGATCAAAATGTGAACAAACAGTGGTCTGAATCGACATCAAGAAGTACTGCTCGTAAATCACATAATAATAGTGAGAGTTCAGTAACCGATGACTTACACGAATGCAACCCAACTCTCAATCCAAATATAACTACTAATAATAAAAGTGTGAATTTCAAAGAATCAGTTCAGGAAAGAATTCATCGCAAAAGCTTTTACTCGCGTTTCAACGACAAACCGATTATCTCATCCAGAAATAGAAGACGTTCTTTCATAGACACCGATGACCTGAGTTTGGCCTTTGGCTCAAAGCCATCCTCACTCTCCAGAGGTTCCCATAGCTTTCGAAGCAGTATATCATATGATGACAACGACTTCACCACTCCATCCAAATCGTCTTCCAATTCGAGCGATTGGTTTCATAGAATGGAATCAAGAGTTTCACAACTCATGGATGACTTAAAAAGCGACAGAACTTCGTTTAGAGATCACTTCCCAACCGATTCACGAGAAAACAATCTTTCATTTGCTTCTCGTCGCAGATCCTCTTCTACTACAAGAAGTTCTTTATCCACTCCTCGCTCTTATCGATCAGATTTCGATTCTTATTTCAATTCTATCGCAAATTCCTTGAATAATAACGAAAACAACGAAAAATCAAATACTGATAGTGAAGGAGAACTTACATCTCCACAAGAAGTCATACAAAAAGCTATCGATATTTTAACACAGAATGATTGAAATGACAATTTTATGGCTTAAGACTAGTCTTTGATATTCTTTTTAAGCAATTCAATATTTGTTAGATATCACCGGTAGTTACGATCGGATTTGCATTTTATTCATAAGATTTAATATTATATAAATTATACGAATCATAATAAGTGTCGTAAAATCAAAAATTAATGTAATTCAAAATATTATAATATTAATATCTAAACTTTAGATTCTAAAGTATGGATTCAAATAACATTGAATTAGTGGAGAGTTTTAATTTTACGAAACCTATTATGATTCCAATAATAATCATTTCTATCTTTAAGATTGTTTTTTAAATAATTTAATAATTTTTACTAAAATAGACTTTAAGTAAAAGACATTTTTATAATTTATTATGTTTTGAAAGATATATTGACAAAATTAATGTCATTTCAGTTTGAAATTTAAAAAACCAATTCCCAATGGAATTTCCCATTTATGAAAGTTTTACTTTTTCAAATAAAAATTAGTTATAACTAAAAATTAATGTGATGTACGATAAGGCTAACAGTAACTAAAAGTTTATTCTCAATGCATTAATGTTAAAAATTATACAAGTTAATTAATTTTACTTAATTACAAAAATTTAATGTCATGATTTAGTGAAAAACTATAAAATTGTTTACTGTTATTATGATTAATGAAATGACAAATTTAAGACATTATACTTTTGGGACACACTTTTAACTCATTAACAATTATTTATTTATTAAAATAGTGTAACCTTTGTGAAAATATGTTTATTATAAATTTTATTCATATATTAATTTTTAAAATTGTATTTTGCCTAAAAAGTGTTATATAAAAGCAAATTCAAAACAATTCTCTATTTTTCACATTTGTTTTATTATAATTATATGTATTTAAAATTATATGTATAGAATTTATTGAGTAGTATAGTTAGTACTACTATTAAGCTGTGATTGTACTTGCTAATTTAGTTTTACTTAATAATTTTGCTAATATTACTAAAAAAGTTGCTTTAAATAATTTATAAAGTTACAAACAAGTGTTGCTTTATAGTAAATGCCTTTTTTATTAGCAATATATTAAAAATTAGAAAATAATATAAATGCTGTTTTAATAATTTGTAAAATAATAATATTAATTGTTTGTTATTTGATTTTTAGGTAATTCTTCGGAATGAACGACAAACAATACTAATAATTAATAATTTCATCAAGTACATTATATTTAATATTGTTTTTAAATATATTATTTTACAAATTGTTTGTTATTATCAATGATAATCATGTTAAAATACGAAAATTTAAGTTAGCAATATTATTGGTAGAATTGAAAACATCAGATTCGAGCCTTTTGTATAACTTAGACTAGAATTGTGAAAATAGTCTCATTATTTGAGTTCAAATTCTTTAGCACCAGAATCCAAGTTTCATAACTGTAAAGATCAGTTGAGTGGTTTACATATACGAAGCTTTTAAAATATATAAGTTGGTCATATTTTTGTAAAATTTTCAAAAAATATTTAAACAAAAATTATCATATTTTAAAAATGAAACAAGGATTACATAACGATGATATACGTTAACCACAATTCGGGTATTTCTTAAAGAACAGATTAGCATTAGATTTACCATTGTCTATAGGATTAGCATTAGACCCTTACACTTAATATTACTCATAGGAATAGCATTTTCCATAGGATTAGGATTAGCCTCATAGACATAGCATTACCCATGTTAAACCTATTATAGACTTAAGCTGTAGTCCCATAGAAACCCATTGAAAAGTTTCCCCATAGGATTGACATTACACATAGGATAATATTAGCATCATGTTAAAGTATAGCCATAGACTTAAGCTGTAATCCTATGTTAAATCCCATAGAAGGGGAGGGACGGGCAGGGCCGAACGATCCTACAAACCACATAATTCATAGCTGAATTGTGGTGAAGCATTTATCCTAAATGTTTGAAGTGATTATTTGGTTATTGGGATTCATTATTAATTATCCGACAATAATTTAGAGCAGTTATCATGACATCAATTATAATGGGAATCAATTGAGAACACATCGAACGCAGGGTTGATCCGACCAATCGGGTTGACTACCGATAATGAAGTGCTCAGAGTTGGGGTTTCTTACAATATAACTGTCAAAAGAGGACGGCTTTTGTATTGTGTCTAATAGTGTTTAAAAATGATTAATACAAACACCATTTTGCTCATGGTCAAATACAATAACAAAGACCGTTCCATAGGAATACATGATAAATGGGTGGTATAGCGGCTATTCCTCTAATGATCCAATGTTTACAAAACTCATTTTTTGGTGCCAATGAATGTGGACTCAAATAATAAAAATAATTTGCTAATTACATCTACAATTGCATCTATAGTATAGATTCTATACGCTTACAGCTATGTAGTGCTCGTTTCGAGGAGGTATTCAATTCTATTAATAATTTTTGACACAATCTTATCAATTGTTATAATCATTACTGCATTAATGAGAACATTGAGTGAGACATTGTATGAAATGAGAATAAGACGTGATGGTAATACAGGTATAAGTTAACATTATGGTTTTATGATGCTCATTTATACAGGTACTACTTGTAATATTCTAGTTATTTAGATTATAATCACAATTTTACCTCAATCTATTATTATTATTATTGGATTTTAAGATCAGTTAATTAATGTTTAGAGTTTATTACTTTGAGAAATAATGTATTTATTTATAATAATTTGATTAAAAAGTAATTTCCAACAATTGTTGTCATAGATCCCCAAATTTGCTCTTCAATTAAAATAACAATTAATAAAGTGGTTAATGATTATGAAAAGTACACAATTTGAGATCCTGTTCATTTAAGTTCACTAAGAGCTATAAACCTATGCATGCATTCATATTTGTCACCTATAATTATTATTATTAGACTAATAATCAAAACTGTAGAAATTGCTACAAAATCTGATTTTATTATTTTTGCATAAATGCATCCAAAGGTTAGGTTTGAGATGATTTCTCTTTTGATTTATTTCAGACGAATCATTATTTCTAATAACTGTAATTTAAATCTTCAATTAATGAGAACTATTAATTAAACTATTCATTATTAGTCATTATTAAATATAATTAAATCTATATTTAACTACAATAGTACCGTATATCACAATCGATGTCAACATTTCAAACCGTTAGTTAAAAATTCAATATTTAGATACTTTTTTCTAATTTAACTTTATTTAATATTTTGAAATCATTAAATACAAAAAATTTAAAATTACAAATATAATTTATATAATGTTTGAAAAGTACTATATCTTACTTAAAATAACAAATTATATACAAATAAATATAACTTATGGTTCTCTAAGAAATGTAACAAATATTCTGATTTAATAAATCATTTGAATCAAAGTGTGGATCAGATGGGGTTATAATACTGTTGTTCTCAAACAAATAGTTTTATAGTAATATTAATTTCAAACAAAATAATATTTAAAAACTACTAAAAATTGAGCAAAACCTGGAAAATGAATAACTTTAACACACAATCATTGGCTATAAAATGGAAATTTGATGTTAATATAGTCAAGAGCTGAGACCTGACACACCATTGATTCAAATAAATTTCAAATACTGTATAAGAAATAGTGGTTAAGAGAAGATTGCAATTGTGTGCAAATTGTCATTAATAAAAAATACTAGACATTAAACACGTGGAAATGTTTTGCATATTTCGTATGATATCGTAATCCAAACTTAAAAATGGAATTCATATATGAATTGTAGAAATGAATGAATGAAATCACAGTTCTGTTATTGGAGTCATTTTCAATGGATAGCGAGCTGTCTCTTGGAGATGACCTTCCGTTTCATCGATATTCAGGTCAATGTTTGGAATGAATACAAACTCTGGTTTCCTATAATTGAGATCATTTCGTTGAGAGATTGCATTTGTCGTACTGTTGTCTCCCGTAAGCCATTGATTCTTCACGAGCCCTGACAGACCGTATTTGCAACGAATCACAAATATTATCATTACTCCAGATATCAATAGCACTCCAATTAGTATCGCTATTATAATCGGGATCTTAGTGTCCAATTCAAAGCATCCGAACTCATCGTTACCCAAGTCTACGATCAACTTTGTGTGCAGCGATGGAGGGCTCACACACTCCACTCCCAACACTGTTCCCAACAGATTGAGGAATGGATATGAGATGTATTCACTCGTTTGGTTAACCATTTGCGTAACCGATGTATTCGACTGCAAGAGATAGTGTCGAAGCCATTCGAGACTGCAGTTACAGTGGAAGGGGTTGTCTCTAACGTCTAAATAGATTTTCCTCTCAATTGTGTTGACGAACTCTAACTGCAAAGTCACAAATCCATTGGATCTAAGCGTTAGGTATCGAAGGTTTGGGATATCACTCAACACATTGTTATCAATATTTGTGAGCAATTTATTGTGTGAGATCTCGAGTCGCTCCAAATGGGATAAGCCGTCAAACGATCCCAATTCAATCCACTGTCAAATCAATCATTTCTTCATTAATTATCTTTAAATTGCAAACAGTTATAACGTTTTACACTTACGGAAAGGTATTGACATTTATTAATGTCTAAAGTCCTTAAATGTTGGAGACTTGAGAAGACTTTTGGTGAAATGGTTTTAAAATAGTTGTCTCCGATCTTCAACTCTTCCAATAGAGTTAAATCCATAAATGCTTTCGAAGGTATTTCCTGTTAATCAATGCATTCATATTAAACAAATTTCACGTCAAAAATAATGCCATTCATCAGTGATTACCTCCAAGTGATTGCTATTAAGCCTAAGAGTTGACAGATTAGTCAATCGTCTGAAGGAATGGGAATCGATAGCACTTAGAGAACAGCCTTCGAGATAGAGATCCGTTAGACTCATGAGTGGAGCGAATGAATCGTCGGATATGTTGTGAATTGAGTTTTGACTCAAATCTAAAACTTGCAGTTTTGGCACAAATTGAAAACTATTGCTCGGAATTGCATTCAAAACATTTGATTTGAGATTTAATTGATTCAAATTGTGAAGACCACGAAACGCGTCGCCAGATATCCATTGGATTTGATTCAGCGATAAATCTAATGTCTCTAAACCGATGAGTGGTTTGAATGTATTTGAATTGATTTCTGAGATCTTATTGTCACTTAAGTGTAACTTTTTCAACGAAACCAAACCATTGAATGTGTTGTTGTGAACGGCTGTCAACGCATTGGTGTTCAAAATCATTGTCTCAATACGATTGCTCTCCAAGAAGTTGTTTTCGCCTAATGTTGTCAATTGGTTTCGAGAGATATCCAGAAGTTCTAGATTTCTGTAAACAGATAGCGAAGACTTGACGCCACGGATCTGATTGTCTAATAGTATGAGTTGTTTGAGTGCGGGGTTCAGAGTGTGCGGCACGTAATCCAGTCTCGCCTCGACCTCACACACGGCCCGCAACCGCTGGTCATCGCAATCACACCCTCGCGGACACATCGCCGCACACTTCACTCCCAAACACAGCACCACAACCAGCAATGTCTTCATCCATGTCTTCATTTGGCACATCATTGCACACAATGGTTAACCAGAGTCTCAATTCATTCACCTATTTGTAGACCTTATGGCCATCAGACAGACCGTCAATCGTGTCAATCGTATCACTCATTTCATCCCAAACACCAACACATCTCATGTGAGACACAATTCATATCATTTGTATGACTCGTATTTCTGTCTCCAATTATTGTAATTCACTTTAATATCAAATTACTATTGATTTTAACCACAAATTTAACTCATATTTCAATCAATTGTTTACAAATACAACAAATTGACGTCAAATACAGCATTAAATTGGCATTAATTCAATCAAATGTATTGCAAAACACAACTCATTGTGAATAACATAAAACATAAATCATATAAAAATAGTATTAAAAAATAGATATGAATTGAAATGAATT